CAATCTTGCAAGCTGAAGCAGGGAACTGCTAAGGCAGCTGCACCTGGTGCGACCATCACAAAACAAGAGACCCGAGAACTAGAAAGGCGAGGCTCACCACCATTTATCCCTCCGCCTTTCAACCAGCCCCACATGTGATTATCGGCCAGGCTGGCACAATGAACTCACTCAGTCAAGCACGGGTGATTTTTCTCATCTTCTGGACTCTCCACACCCTGTTCTCCTGTTCTTAGAACAGATAACTATGGACTGATGTTGTTTTTTCTTTTCCCCAAGAAATGTTTAATTTTTTTTCTACTTAGAAAATAAGATTTTTTTCATCTCAAAAGTTTGGGGAAATTTAGCATATTATTAAATGAGAATAGAAAGCATTCAGAATACTATCATCTGAATGGTACACTGTGGGTGTATAGTCTTTTAATTCATTTCAATGCCTAATGAACATATTGCCTTCGTTTTTAATGTATAGTTTTACAACCTGCCTTTTGTGTGTAACGCTTCGTAGAGTGATGTGTGTCAGACACACGGGTGAGTATTCTTATTTACTCTATTGGCCGAGGAGAACTCATGGGGAGTTTGCATCGGTGTGGCATCACTGATCTCACCAGTGACTGGCCAGGAGAGACAGACCTGTTTGGGCTGGATTCGGACCAGGCAGCACCCCACCTCCTCGTGGCTCCTCAGGAAGATGAAACCTCATAGCCCCCGGAAGGATGGGGGCTATTGAACTGTGCAACTCTGCCCTAACACCCCAAAAAGCTTATCTCTCCAGGCCAGGCTTGTGTAGCCCCTCCCCCAGCACCCCAGGAAGCAATGTATCTTCGTAGGCTGGTTTGCAGAGCCCCTTTCCCAGCACTCCTGGGAGCAGGTTTGCGGACAACGAGATGACTTCCCACGGATCGCATCCTGACGCAAGGCCCTGCAGCTACAAGCAATAAGAAATCTCCCTTCCTTCTGTCAACGTATACTTCCTTAGCTCGAGCCCTATATACCTCCCACCGCCTCACCGACAAGCTGCGGACAAGCAATAAGAAATCTCCCTTCCTTCTGTCAACGTATACTTCCTGAGCTTGAGCCCTATATATCTCCCACCGCCTCACCGACAAGCTGCAGCTTTCCTGACCTAACTCACTGGGTTGTGGAATGCTCCCGGGAGTTTCTCCTAGCCTCACTAAAGCCTTTCTTTACTGTTCTTTCTTGGCTCAGCTCTATCTTCGTTCTGTACCCCCGTTTCAACCCCACAACACCTGCTTGTATCTGCCCATTCTTTCATGTAGCAAGTGAGATGGATTAAATTGTTATCCAGAAGGATATGCTGGTATTCTGACCTCTCTTGTGTGTGTCCTGACCTTGTATAGAAATATGATCAAATGAGGATGCTATCCGTCCATGTCACATCTGAAGGCGTCCTGTGGTAGTTTGGATCCTAATGCTCGACCCCACCAATGCCTGGTACCCAGACTGCCAACCTCCAGAACCACAGCTTGGTTCAAGCCCCACACTTTGTGAAATTCCCTTCCTGCAAAACCATGACTTTTATGCAGCCAGCCTGCCAGCCGTCGAGGATGAAAGTGAAATAGAAGATGTGGCTCACATTCTCAAGGCGTTCTCTGTCTTTTCTGGAAAGACTGTCAATCTCTCCCTTGTCCTGATCTCATTTCCAGTTCATCGGCTCCTCTTTTTCACACTGGGCAAGAGGTGGTTTGCGTTGTTGCTGCAGCAGTCCTGGCCGCCCCTCCCCCACGGCTAGCCCCTCCCCTTCTTGCCTCTGGGTTCAGCAGTGACATAAAACCAATTTATAACTCTTGCCAGGAAGAGGACAAATTTTCATCTCGGCCTGTCACGCGAGAAGCACTAGTACAAATGAATAATCGTTGACCCATGCTACCTATTAGAGATTGTGCTGGGGGTCATCTCCTCTGTTGTTTTAACACGAGACATTAAGGGCCTCGGCAAGGGCTTCCACGAGGACAGAATGGGCAGTGAGGTTGTGTACCTCTTTTGTGGGCGCCCTCTTTCAGGGCCACACTTGGGGAAGAGGGAGGAGGCTGGAGCCCCACAGCCATCCCTCGGGGAGGGCAGAGCTCTGCCTATGCCCAGTTGCCACTGTGGGCTCAGGGTCATTCTTTTTTTTTAAACATTTTATTAGGGGCTCATACAACTGTTATCACAATCCATACACACATCAATTGTGTAAAGCGCATTTGTACATCATTCTCAAAACATTTTCTCTCCACTTAAACCCCCGACATTAGGTCCTCATTTCCCCCCTCCCTCCCCACTCTCCCCTCCCTCATGAGCCCTTGATAGTTTATAAATTGGTATTTTGTCATATCTTGCCCTGTCCGACGTCTCCCTTCACCCACTTTTCGGTTGTCTGTCCCCCAGGGAGGAGGTCACATATAGTTCCTTGTAATTGGTTCCCTCTTTCCTACCCATTCTCCCTTTACCCTCCCAGTATCACCACTCACACCACTGGTCCTGTAGGGCTCATCCGCCCTGGATTCCCTGTATTTCCAGTTCCTATCTGTACCAGTGTACATCCTCTGGTCTAGCCAGACTTGCAAGGTCGAATTCGGGTCATGGTAGTGGGAGCGGGGAGGAAACATTTAGGAACTAGAGGAAAGTTGTATTTCTCATCGTTGTTACATCGCACCCTGACTGGCTCATCTCCTCCCCGAGACCCCTCTGCAAGGGGATCTCCAGTGGCCTACTCATGGGCTTTGGATCTCCACTCTGCACTCCCCCCATCATTCACTATGGTAAGATTTTTTGTTCTGATGATGCCTTATGCCTGATCTCAGGGTCATTCTTTCCAGGGTCTTTGTCAGCAGTACACCTGGCAAAGCAGCCAGAAGGTGCTGGAGGACATAGGTACAGAGAGTGCACTCTTAGTCACCGGCCAGCACCCAGCCTGTTGAGGAAGCAGCTGACAGGTGTGAAAGTTATGTGTCTGTGCAAGGTAGGAGTGCATCCACATGCATGGACATTGAGACCATTCTGCTAAAGGAAATGAGCCAGACCTGAAAGGACAGAGAGTATATTGTCTCACTTACATGGAGTACCCAAATAGGCAAATACACATGGCTAGAGAGTAGATCAGTGGTCAGTTCCAGGAACAAGGGAGATGGGTGTGGGGAATTATTGCTAAAGGGGGACTGGGTTTCTGTTTGGGAGGAGAAAAACTATGGAAATAAACAGCAGTGATGGTCACATGGCCTTGTGAATATAATTAACACCAGTGAATTATGTGCTTAAATAAATTACATTGTCCTACACAAGACATTAGACTGGACTGGAAGGCTCAGGCAATGCTCTCTTCAGGATCAAGTAGCCTGAGTGGTAGGGAAAGGCTTGTTCTGGAGGCTACTTGAGGTGGGTGGGCGACAATGAATGGGATCTGCAGGTGAAGAGAAGAAGAATCAAAATCCAGAATCCGGGAAGACCATCTTTAGCACAGGGAAGAGAACTGGTGAAGTCTTGGTGGAATGATGAGAGGCAAGGCTGGATGGGAACCAGCGTTGAAAGCAGGATGAGACTGGGAGGGCTAGACACCTCCTCTCCCACTTGGATATGGGCCCATGCTGCCCATCATGCTATTAGTCACTTTTGCTCTCGTTTCTGTGAGACAAAGAAACAGGGCTGTTCTCCACACCGCCTTCACCATCATTGGTGTGCTCAAGTGCATTGCTGCGTCCATGGTGTCTTTTGAGTGGCTAGGGGGCTCATCTTCTAGCACTATTTCTGCTATGGATGGCGTTATGCGCTGCGCCCCCACCCCCACAAATAGGTGATCTGAATTCTGACTGTGGTTATCATCTCATTTGAGAAAGGAATTTCTTTGCTATGTTAATGAGCCAGCCCTGTAGGGAGGGTCTTGGGCCAATCTCTTGAGCTATGGAGGGAGCCTATGAGGCCAGCAGAGAAGCAGGGAGATAGATGCCAAAGCACACAAAGAGGGAAGATGAAGTAAGAGGCTAGAGAATTGCTAAGTGTTGTGCTAGTCTGGAACCAAAGAAAAGGACCTTCCCCAATGCTGGCCTGGACAGCCTTCCTCAGACTTCCAGTTCTCTGTGAGAAAAAGGGAGTCCGAGTGGTGCTGTCAGGTGAGAACTGGGCTGCTAACCACAGGTGCGAGGTGTAGACACACCAGCTGCTCCACAGGAGAAAGGAAGGTGAGGGTGCTTCTCCTATCAGCCATACAGCTGCAGGAACACTAAACAGCAGTACGAGGAGTCAGGACCAATTCGATGGCAATGGGTTTGATTTGACTGTAAAAAAATACATTTTTGTTGCTAAGGCCACTCGTGCTATTTCTGTGATTGAACTAGATAACGAAGGCAATATTAAACAGTTGTTCTATTGTGATACATACAGTTTTCACCAGATATTTCTCCTCCAGTCTGTCTTGTTCTGGAAGCTCTGCTAAAACCTGTCCGCCATGGGTGGCCCTGCTGGTACTTAAAATACTGGTGCTTCCAATAAGCCATCACAGTAGGGCAAAGTGACAAATGGGTGGCGGATGAACTGTCCTGAAAATCATATGCCTTCTAATATCAGTGACTAAACATGACATGAAGCTGTGAGGGCAGAGAGCATTTCACACAGCAGTGGCTCAACAGGTATTTAATAAAATGCTACATTACTCATTCTCGTACCAGCTCTCTAGTCGAGAACTATTGCCTTGAACAATCACATTAACATTTCTTAAAGTGCCTTCATACCCAGTGTCTCACCCAATACTGAACACAAGTATGGTCTTGTGCATTGTTACCTGTCAATAATACTTTCTGACTAATATTCTCTATTTCCAGACCTTGGTCTAGGGCAGTATATGGAAGGACTGCACACTGAGGCTGAGTTTTGATGGAAATTCTACCAGTTTGTGCAGAGTTCCACAAATACCAGTTGGGGACAGTGCTCTTCAGAGAAACTGTGCATGGCACAATAGAGTCAACCTGAAAAATGATCACACGGAAATACAGTAGAATATTGGGATGAAAGGAGCCCATTTTTCTCCAGCCACTGCGCTGATGACGCTGTTGGGTAACCTTTGGCCGTTAATGGCAAGATGGGCAGTTTAAACCCATGAGTCACTAGCAACTCTATGGCAGTGGGACTGGTTTGGCTTGCGTTTCGGTGCTGATGGTGCGGTAGTAAATTATGGAGTGAGGTTGGGTGAAGCAGGACAGGAGTAATTGAATTCGCTTTTCCTTTCTGTCTCAGGGTGCTGTCCTGGACAGAAAGGAGGGGGGAAAGGCTTTTAGATGCTTAGGAATATTCTCAGCAAAGGTTTTCATTGTACTAACTTGGGAACTCTATATACTTCTTCTGTTTGGGTGTGATGGGGGAATTAAACCTGTGAAGAGGACCCTGTTTGGATATAGGCAGATTAATTTTGTTATGTGAACAAGGCCGTAGCAGAGTAGGTGAGTCCTAAACCTAATCACTTGGGAGCCATGTTTTCTAAGAAGAGCTGAATAGACACAGAGTGGCACAGGCTGGAAGAGATGACATGTACGAGAGGGAAAGAGACATCTACAAGCCAAAGGATGTCAAGGATTTCCTGCAGCTAATTGAAAATTAAAAGGCAAGGATGTCACTTGGAGGACTGAGGTACACCTGATCCTAGCTGTGGTATTGTTAATTGTGTCATATGCATGCATAGGATGGGCA